CTTTCCCTGCAGTGGTATAATATAAATACCCACTCACCTCCTTCTTCTCTCTCTGCCGCTCACTCCTTTCAAGTTTCAACTTCCTTCTCTCGAGTCTCGCGTCAACAAAGAAAGAGAGAGAGAGAAAAAAAAAAACATTAAACCATTTTCACCTTTTCAGGCGTAGCGCATGCTCCAACTAACGCAACATAAAATAAAAAGTTAAGTAATCTGAAACCTCCAACTTAGCCGCCGCACAATGACGGTGTTTTCCGCCAGGCAGGTGTTTCCGGTGGACTACGTGGCCGAAGTGTCGCAGCGCCTTCTAGAAGCCTCTCACTCCGGCGATCTCCCCCTCGCCTTCCACTGCATTGCCGATCCCTCCGTCGACGTCAACTTCGCCGGCGCCGTTACGCTCAAGACCGCCGCCGCCGACCTCCTCCTCCTCCCGGAATCCCCCAGCCAGGTCCGCCTCCACTTCCAGGAATTCGTCTCCGACGTCTCGCCGCTCTTCCTCGCCGTCCACGCCGCCAACGCCGCCCTCGTCAGGAAGCTGCTGGTAACGCCGCCTTCGTTGTTTCGATTTCGACTGTTTTATCCTTTTCATAAGTGCGGATTCGTTGACTTTGAATTTGAATTTCAATTTGAACTGTTTTGTTTGCTCAGCTTTAGTGAACAATTCGCTGAGAGTGGCATTGTTGTTAACATTTCTGAAAATTTCACATAGAAAATGTTGGTTTCTCCTTTTGGTTTGCTATTTTAAAAAAATACTACTAGAAAACGTTGTTATCTGAAGGTAATTTTTGTTGTCATGAAATGATTTTCAAAATTTATGATTATCAGAAATCGTGATTTTTATGTACGGAAATTTTTTTCGTGTACTAATCTTAGAAATTTCTTCTTGCGAGTTCAAAATCAAAACTTCTATACCTCTGTTTTAATTTTCAAAACGAAAAAAGATATAACAGCTCTTGGCTCCGTTCGTGTTTAATTTATTTCAAACAAAAGTGGAAAAAGTTACGTTGAATTTGAATTTTTGAATCCCGTTCGCGTTTTTATTGGATGAAATTTCGTGGTTGGTCCCCACTCTACTTTTCTCCGTCGTTGTCATTCTAGTCTATACATTTATCTCTGTCCATTTGCCCTTGTCATTCTTCCTGAATCTAAAGCAGGACAGATACTCGGGTACCAAGCATGTATCCAAATCGATTCAGTGTTTGGGGTTTTTGAAGCGACAAAGAAAATGAATATTACGATCCGTAAGGCTTTCAAATCATTCTAAGCTAGAGATGGAATGACACGTTCCTTTTTTTCCCAGAGGAAAATATTTCAGTGCCAGTCAATTATTTTTTTCCTAATAACAGGTGGCTGCCTTTCAGACAAAGGACCAGTCTAGAAGGGAGAAAATATACTGTAAAAAAAAGTTATCCCTTAATTATTTTATAAAAGAATTTACCTCTAATTTTTACGAGATAGCACAAGACTCTGAGAGAGCATTAGATGAAGACAGATTTTTTTTTTTTTTTCCATAATAATTTTTTTTTTTTTTTTTTTTTGGGAAGCTAGCTTGTCTTTCACTCTTGTGTGCCCCATACTGTCCCCGACCATTGGACATTGCAATTTACACATGATACTTCCTTCTCTCCTTAGGTCCCACCCACCAAAAAAAGAAAACTTTTCATTACCTTCCCTGTTTTTATTTATTTATTTGATTGATTTTGTTCACTGTTATCTTCTATTTTGCTTTGGGTTGGCTTAGCCATATCTCATAATCTTTTGTTCCCCTTCTTTTCTGTATCCGAGTGGATTTAATCTTTTAAGCTAATTTATAACAGGATACGTAACTACAGAAAGGAAGTAAAATGATTAAAGTGTGGAAGGCATTATATTTCAAGCTTATTAAAAGTTCCTGAATTCGCACTTTATCGCTGAGTTGTTATTTTCCTACTTCCATCATTTTGAACAAATGTGTAGAAAGAAAATCAGAAAAAATAATATTGTTGTAGAATTTTGCCCGGGGTTATAAACTATAACAATTGGTTTAGTTTATTTTACAGAAATATTAATTAATTTTTTTTTTATCAATTTGTTTTAAAAATTACAAAACAAACTTTTGTTTCTTAAAATCAATCTAATCAAGCATGCACAAACAAGTTGATTTCTTTTTCTTCTTCTTCTTCTTCTTCTTCATTGACAGAGTGTGGGAGCTGATGTAAACCAGAAGCTCTTCAGAGGCTTTGCCACGACTGCTGCAGTAAGGGAGGGTCAGTTTAAAATTCTAGAGACCTTGCTCAAAGCAGGAGCATCGCAACCAGCATGTGAAGAAGCTCTTATAGAGGCAAGTTGCCATGGTCAAGCAGGGTGTGTAGAATTGCTCATGAGCTCAGATTTGATCCGACCTCATGTTGCTGTACACGCTCTAGTGACCGCAAGCTGCAGGGGGTTTGTAGATGTGGTTGAGACGCTCATAAAGGTACGTGTTATGCTATGCAGCAACATAGTTCTAGAGCATAGATTAATAGCATTTGCATTTGTATAGTTGGTATTATCCAACGCTTTAAGGAGGGTAAGATTTGTGGAGTGTGGACTTGCATCTCTCACCTCTACCGTGAGGTTCTTGACTTCATTATTAACATCTTTTGTTATGTACGACTGCTGGTACATAATTTGGATGCTATTTGCCACAATATAATAATGTTTCTCCCTCCTGCTCTCTCTACATTCAGAAAAGTTTCATGTCTCTGCCATACTTGGTAGCTTTCCATAAAACTCCCTCAAAAATTTCACCTACCTGTCATTTTGCAAAAGCAAGCTTCTATGAATTTCTTCCTCCTAGAGTTCAACTCAGATTCCCACCTAAACTTCCTAGTATTTAGCTGCCAGTCTCTGAGGGAAACTAAATATACCTTTCTCGACCTTTTCACTGGTACATTTATCAGAAATTGAAGAAAAAGGGGTTAATAGTAATTGAGTGCAGTTTAACATTAATCTGTTACTGTCCAGCTGTCATTAATTGGTTGGTTAGGTGTTAGTTATTTTTGCACATGATATAAATGCTGTAATCTCACTTTTCTGAATACAATTCACTGATTATCTTTGCCTACGGCTACTTGTTATATTTCTCTCTTTTTCGACTATGTTTTGCATTGTTGCTTAGAACATTTTAGTTACGGTGTATGGTTAATACTTGTTAGAATTTGCTAAACTTTGGATGTGGTCTCTCCATTGGCAGTGTGGTGTGGATGCGAGTGCGACAGACCGGGTGCTTTTACAGTCACTTAAGCCTTCTCTCCACACAAATGTAGATTGTACTGCACTTGTTGCAGCTGTAATCCATAGGCAGGTCCCTGTTGTTGATTTGTTACTGCAGGTAATCTTTACCACTGCCCCTTTCAAACCTTTGGTTATTATTACAATTTAGTTTAGTGTAGGAGAATATTTCACATATCCGCTGTCCTAGTTTTTTCAACCAATATTTCTTTGCTTTTGGGATTTACTTTTTGTGAATAACTATTGGCCCGCCACTTTTTATTAACTTATTACATTTTATCCAAAATAATTTCCATAAAGTTATAATGAATCATGCAAGAAGCCATGTGACTGTGGCATAAAATACCCGTTCGTTAATACTGAAGAATATGTTATAAGTCTGCCAAAAGGTACCAACCTCTTTTAATTGCGTTCAGGAGGTTTCTGCAGTTGCACAATTTACCCAAAAAAAAAAAAAAGATTTCATAGTTAAATTTTGGTCGGTTTATTCTACCGAATATGACATGATTGAATTGATCTTTTTCACTTGCTAGATTTTATTGTTAATGTGAAATGAGCCTCACTAGGACTTTTCTTCCGAATGAACTACAGAATGGTGCTAGGTTAGACTTAGAAGTGAGGCTTGGAGCGTGGTCATGGGACACTTCAACTGGTGAAGAGCTTCGTGTGGGTGCTGGGCTGGGAGAACCTTATGACATCACCTGGTGTGCAGTTGAGTATTTTGAAAGAAGTGGTGCTATACTACGCATGCTCCTGCAACATGTCTCCTCCAAACCTCACCATGGAAGGACCCTTCTACACCATGCCATACTTTGTGGCAACGTTGAGGCTGTCAGGGTGCTCTTAGAATGTGGTGCAGATGTGGAATCCCCAGTTAAAACAACCAGCAAGACAGAGTTCCTTCCTATACACATGGCATCTCGTCTAGGCTTTCCAACAGTTATTCAATGCCTTATTGATTTCGGTTGTGATTTGAACTCTACAACAGACTCTGGTGACACGGCTTTGATGATCTGTGCAAAATGTAAACAAGAGGAGTGTGTCAAAGTACTAACAAAAGCTGGTGCTGATTTTGGCTTGGTGAATATTTCTGGTCAATCTGCAAGTTCAATTGCTGAGTCAAATAAGTGGTCACTTGGTTTTCAACAAGCAGTGTTGGATACAATTAGAAAAGGCAAGATACCCAAATCCAGCAATACTACTTTTTCCCCTTTAATTTTTGTAGCTCAAGCTGGGGATACTGAAGCATTGAAAATTGTCATTGAATCTGGAGAATTTGATCTCGACTATCAAGATGATAGTGGTTTCTCTGCAGTTATGCATACTGCTTCAAATGGCCATGTGGATTCTTTCCGTTTGCTGGTGTATGCCGGAGCTGATGTAAAGTTGTGCAATAAATCTGGTGAGACAGCAATAACCCTCTCTGAAATGAATCATAATTGTGATTTATTTGAAAAGGTCATGCTTGAATTTGAGCTTGAAAAGGGAAACATCAATGCTGGTGGATTCTATGCTTTACATCGTGCCGCTCGTCGTGGTGACTTGGATGCTGTTACATTGCTCACCAGCAAAGGCTATGATGTCAATGCCCCTGACGGAGAGGACTACACTCCGCTCATGTTAGCAGCAAGGGAAGGGCACGCGTCCATTTGCAAGCTTCTAATTTCACACGGTGCTCATTGTAATGCCAAAAATGCTCGGGGGGAAACTGCACTTTTACTTGCAAGGAAATTCGCCGGAGGGAAAAACGATGCAGAGGCTGTTATACTAGATGAACTTGCTCGCAAATTGGTATTAAGTGGTGCCTACGTTCAGAAGCACACCAAAGGTGGGAAGGGCTCTCCACATAGGAAACAAATGCAGATGTTGAAATCTTCAGGTGTGCTATGTTGGGGGAAGTCTAGTCGGAGAAATGTGGTGTGTTGTGAGGCAGAGTTAGGACCAAGCTCAGCATTGCGTAGAAATAGGTACAAGAAAGGTGATGCAGATGAACCTGGAGTGTTTAGAGTCATCACTAACAAGAACAGGGAAGTGCATTTTGTATGTGATGGGGGGCTAGAAGTTGCTGAGCTTTGGGTGAGGGGAATTAAACTTGTAACCAAAGAGGCTATTTTTCATAAGTAGAGGTCGGTTTAAGTAGTAGTGTTAGTGTTGATATGGTAGGATGTATAGGTGTTTGAAGTGGTACTTCAACTCGAAGTACTTTAACTGTTTATTATTGTAAAGATTTTGATCTCAACTATTGTACATCCTTATGTTTTTTTTGGAGGTTGGGGAAACTGAAAACAAGGAAGCACTGTAGTGTCTCTTGTACCTGTTGTTCTTATGGTTAGGGAATACTGTTCGTCTTCCAGAAATTAGCATTAGGTAGTAGACATATTTCTAAAAACAATAACTGTATGAGTTAAATAACAAGGGTAAAAAGATAATTATATCTTAAAAATTACTAGTAGGTCTAACTATTTTTTTCTTTGATAAATAAAAATAGTAGACCAAGGATGACATTCCATGATTATTGGATACCTTGTTGGAGATTCTTAGACATTATTATCTACTTGGTAGTTAGTCAAAATTTGATAATGTCCGATTTGAAGTAGAATTTTACTTGTTGAATTGGAAGTTAGTAAAAATCTATTAAAAGAATTTTACCTTTGGTATTAAGTGATCTCATTGAGTAGATATATCTACTAAAGTAGGATATTAAGTTATCGAACTTATGTCATGAGGAACGAACACATATCAAATTATGTACTATTTGTGGAAACTCACAATAACTATAAGTGCTGTGTAAGGGCATATTGTTGTTTTTGTTAGAATGTGAATTTGCAAAACTAATATCTAATCACAAATTTCATTGAGTGTGAATCTTCATTCATTATAACATTTAAATAATATTTATAATAATACTAGAGGAAAACTAAAATTCTTTTGTGTTACGTATCAAGTAATAGTCATTAGTGAAATTAAATAATTATATATAAATGATTAATTAAATGAAATACATGTTGAAATTAAATTAAAGATTAAATATATTTTTAGTTTTTGAAGTTTTGTTAATTTTTATTTTTAGTTTAGAACATTTTTTTATTAATATTAATTATTGAATTTTTGTCAATTTTTACTTTTAAGTTATTAGAGTTTTTCCTCTCATTAATATTTGTTTTTTTTTTTTTGTTAATTTATCTTTAGACTGCAGTCTATGAAATTTAACAGGTTTGCGATAATAGCATTCGTGATGAAAATAATATTAAACAAATAGAAACAAAACTCAATGTAGTTAGATAAAGTGCAACTACATCAGTTGAGACTGCAATCTATGAACATTAAAATATCTGTGATAATAGCATCCATGGTGAAATTAATATTAAACATGTACAAACAGAACTCAAGGTAGTTAGTTTTTCCACAAAAAGAAAAAAGTGCAACTACATCAATTGTATCTTTATTCTTTACACTGCAAATAAAATTTGGTCCTTGTGGTTAAATTTTTTTGTTCTAAAAACAAATAATTTCAGAGAGTAAAACCAAATAAAATTTGTTTAGAGATTAAAACTAAAAATTAAAAAAGATTTAAGAAGTAAAAAAACATTTAATTCTTAAATTAATTGTTGAAGAGGGACAGTGATAGAATTATGGGTAAGTCAAACCAATATTAACCATACAATTATGTATAAATCATATTCACTGGTCAATTGTTGGTGTGTAAGCTGGTTAAAAAGGTTAATATAAGAACCTGAACTCGAAAAAATCACACTTATGAATAACTAAAATAATCATTAAGTAAAGAAAAATAATCATTTAGAGGTAGAAATGATGAAATGTACATGTGTTTCCTATGTGCTAAATGTACTGCTTGGTTTAGAAACGTCGAATATCCAAAATCAACTAATTTATATATATATATATATATATAT